AGGCAGGTAAACATGCCCACCCCCCAAGTCTTACTATGTAGCCCTGGCTAGCCTGGAACTCACTATGTAGAGCAGGCTGGCTTCAAACTCATAGAGATCCACCTGCCTCTGCATCCTCTGGGATTAAGGGCGTGCGCCAACAAGCCTGGGGCCTCTCTCTCTCTCTCTCTCTCTCTCTCTCTCTCTCTCTCTCCTTCACCTATGTGGGCTATTTGACACTGTTTCTTTGGGACAGAATTATTTCCACAGTGCAGGAGACCCTCACAGGCACACGAAGTCCTGCCTTTAACTTGGAATGTTCAGCTTACCAGATGTCGGGGTCTCCCTGACACCAGCTACAGCATGTCTCACTAGGCTAGCATGTTCTTCCCCATAGATGCATTGATCCAATCCAAGACATTATAAATTCCATACTGGGCTATGCTTGGGTACCTAGGTTGACACTGGGCTGGAGGCATGCTCCCACCAAATGCACCATGGCACTGGCAGCTTGAGGTGGGGATGACTTGGGCTGCATGACTGAACTCAGCCTGCTAGAAAAAGCGGATGACAGGTGACATTAGGTGGGCCAGGAAAGTTGGATGAGGTTGGGGACACCAGCGGACAAGGGGTAGGAGGTGGAGAATCCCGGGAAGGAGGGTCACTGCAGGAGCTCAGGTACCAAGCCTCACGTCCCATTGTCCTATAGGACTTCACTTACAAAACATGAATCAAGAAGCTATTAAGGATTTCCGACAGTGCCATAGAGCATTCCACTCAAACGTGAGGCCTTTCTGAGCCTGGGGACCCCGTGCACCTGCTCTGGTCACACACCTGCAAAGTCAGCCCTGGGCTGTGGACAAGCAAAGAACTGTAAGACACCAGAGCTCAAAGACTCATTCACAGAGAATTATATATATACACATATATGACGAATATTTGGGGCGGATTCAAATGAGCGGATGTTTCTGAAGTAGTGTGTGATTTAATGCTGTGTTCAGGGTTTCTGTACACAATTCCTTTGCAAATTGATGATTCAGATTTAGTCTTTTTTTTCTCACTCTCCATTTCCTCACATTTTATTAGCAGTGATATGTATCCTGGGTGATCTGAGGGGGAAGTCAACTCAATCCCTGACATGTGGAATCTTTGAGGTGCAAGATTTTCCCTGAGGATAGGGCACGCAAGGAAGCAGGGGAAGAGAATCAAAGTCAGCCTGCTGGTGTGAAAGCCAGGGGATTAAAGGAAAATCAGTTTGCTTGACTTGAAAAAGTGGGTCAGAAATGGGGAGGAAGGAGCAGGCCAAAATGTGAGTGGGCAAGTTGGCGCTGGTCAGGCCATCAAGTATCTGACCACCTGGCAAGGGTATAGCAATTGGGGTTGGAGTTGCAGAGGATTAATTATAGTGAAAACTCCCACCCCAGAGGGGGAAGTGTGTTCTTGGAGGAAGCAGAGGAAAAAAGCTCCAGTCCTCCAAGACTCACTGGGTGGATCTGGGCTGCAGGAGCCATTAAACTTCTAGACTCTGCCGCTCTGGCGCCCTGAGCTAAGGGAGTGAATCTGACTGGTAAGCAGACCTCTTCTACTCCATGCATTAAAAAACACTTATGTAGTTAGGGCCTGGTCAGACAGCAGGTCCGAGCAATTTACAGTGATTGTTCCCCCCAAATGAGAAGACATTTGGAGTTGCTCAAGTGTCCTATCTGGGCCAAGAGACTTAAGCAAACGGCGGCAGGCGAAGTGGTAGTTCTTGGGTAAGCAGTTTGTGTTGTGTTTTTTTCCACAGTGCTCAGACCTGGTGGCTTCACTATGCTTCCAGCACCAGATCAGGTAGACTGGTGGGGGCTACTGAGAAATTTTGTCTCCGTGTGCATTAACTGCTTCTATTTACAAAACAAGATCCTCTAATGCAGAGCTGCATTGTCCCATAGTTGAAAGATAAGCTGCCTAACTGTCCTAAGAGCCAGCACACAGGACAACTGTTTGCTGGGATGGAGGGAACACACAGGAGCAACCATACTTACCCATCAAGCTCCTCTTGTAAATATTTGCAGACTCCCCTTCAGCACTCAAAAGCCTGGGACAGGATCGTTGGACGATTTGCTTAGAAGAAGTAGAAACAAAATTGACCTCGTGGTCTGAGGCAGCCATAAAAAGGAAGAGTGTGAGTATGGGCAGAAGACCAGAAGGAAGGAAAATTGTTCAAAGTTTAATAAACATAAAAGAGAATAAAAATAAATCTCAAGAGTACTTATTTACAAACTCGATGGAAGGATAAGATTGTGGCAGGCGGGGGTGAAAGATGGCTGTTTGTAGAATGGGACTGTGGGGGCTCCCGGGAAAGAAAGGAGGGGGGGGGGCAAAACGAAGGAGATGTTTACTCTGGCTAATGACAGGAAACACGTGAAATTAGCCTTGCACTTCCAGGATGCGCTTTCAAAGGATGTTTGAAGCCTATGCTGCCTGATGCAGACGACAGACAAGTCAAGATAATGTGGCCACTCCACCTATGGAAGATTCTGGCCAAGAGGGTGTGCACATCCAGGGAACCTAGGTCAACCTCTGCCCAGTCCGCTCTGCCTGAGTCCTGAGAGCCGGCCTGTTTTCAACTGCGCTGGTTAGGATCAGACCATTGTGATCACTGGGAAGGGCATACATACACTGCAGTGGAAAAAAAGGTCGATTTCTAGCAGCAGCTCCTTTTGGAGCCCACAAGGGAGCCAGCTCCTGCTCCTGGTCTGAAAGCTGCCCACGCTCTGTTTCTCAGAGGGTCATCACTCTGTCTCCATGAATACTTCCTTTTGTCCAAAATCTATCTGAATGTTTGGATTGCGTGTCCATTTGTTTCTGGCTTTCTAGCTACAGAGCCTGAATTAATAGGGCCATGGGCTTGGAGTTCCATGAACCAGCATTTGCAGAGTCTCAAGGATATGGGAAAGAGATAAAGAGAAGGCTCATGAGGCCGAAGGTTCAGAGCTCCTAAGATGAGGAAATTCAGTGTGTTTCTATCTCCCCCTCCCCTCCAGTGTAATTGTCGGGGCATGGATTTCCCAAGAAATCATGAAGGGCATTTATTTATTTCTATTTTAAGCTCAGCAAGATGGCTTGTTTAATAAGTTAGTGTTTCCAGTAGCCAGATGTCCGAGTCTCAAGACTCCCATTGATGACCAGCTATGCAACAGGAAATGATCAGCAAACTACATTTTTTCTACAGCCTTGAATATGTGGAGGGAAATGAGATAGCTCTGCCTTCAGAATTACTAAAATTTCATAGGGGAAAACAAAATAAACACACATAATGCAGAAACAATCAAAATATTTGAAGAGAACCATAACTGTGAATAATTATGTTGTAATGAAATTCTGTAATTGTAAAAGGACAGGAAGAAGTGGAGCTTCCAGATTGCATGGAACATTCTGGAACAAGGAAGGTAAATTCTCAGGGGATTTTGGAAGAAGACCGTAGAAACATACTTGTAGCAAACAGTCTGTTGGCCCATTGTTGATAATCAATGAATGTTGGGAATGAAATCAGAGAGGCAAAGTGACCTGCTTGGGTCCTAGGTAGGACCACTTTCATATTCAAAGGCAAGGACAGGCTACTAGAAAATAACAAAATTCCAAGGAACTCATGATCTTGAAATTGTTATGTGTCCTAAACTCTGTCTTCTACAAGGTCCCAAACTGAAGCTATTTTGTTCTTTCTCTCTTCTTTTAAAATTTTATGTTTTTAATTTTATGTGTATGTGTGCGTGTATTGCTTGCATGTAAGTGCATGCACCCATGTCGTGCAATGCCCGCAGAGGTCAGAAGAGGCTGTCGGATCCCCTGGGACTGGAGTTATTGTTAGCTGCATGTCCGCAGAGGTCAGAAGAGGCTGTCGGATCCCCTGGGACTGGAGTTATGGAGAGTTGTTAGCTGCCATGTGGTGCTGGGATTCGAACCCAGGTCTTCTGCAAGAACAACCAGTGTTCTTAACGGCTGAGCCATCTCTCCAGCCCCCTTGTTCTTTCTCTTAATCGCAGATTAAGTTATCCCCCCAAAGAATCTTAGGACTGGACACCCAGTGTAGGCAGTTTGTGGTTATAGTTTTGTTTCATTCAGATTTTGTTTTATTTAGATTTTCTTATCATAACTTGGTCATATGTGTGAAAACCCAAACTACTAAAGCCAAAAAAAGAAGCAAACCATGCGGCTGGTTAAGAGTAGAGTATTCAGATGCCAAACTTTCAAGGAAAAAAAATACACGGGCAGACGACTTACCATTAGGAGCTATTTTCTTGGCACATCTGACTGAAGCGTATACAAGCCCAGCAGCCCTCTCCAGCCATCAACTGTCATGAGCTTATTCCAATTCATAACCATCTAGGATTTTCTGCCAGTTTGTCAGCCTTCGAAAGACAGGGTTAAATGCTCGCCTTCAGATGTAGTTTGAAGTGGTTTGTTAATCTCTCCTAATCTGCTCCTCCTGTAACCAGACCCTCCCACGTGTTGATTTTGTTTCATTTTTTTTCCCCTGGTTAAATTGTTAATGGTATTAAATTGGTCATTGGAAACAAAATTGCGATATAGCTATTTCCCTTCTGTTTCTTGGGAGTATCACGTGCTGTGGTCTTTTTTGAGAATGCATTGGGCTTTATCCTTTCCAACTGTTGCCCTAACTTTTTACAGATGCCATCCCGCCTACTTTCTACAGACCCTACTTCAGAATTGTCCGCTTTGATGTCTCAGCAATGGAGAAGAACGCTTCCAACCTGGTGAAGGCGGAGTTCAGAGTCTTCCGTTTGCAGAACCCCAAAGCCAGAGTTGCTGAACAGCGCATCGAACTGTATCAGGTAACCTGGTTGTTGTTCCGTGTTTTAGTGAGTAACAAACTTTCTACTGTCAAAGATCTTAGCTCTCATAGGCTTTTCTACACCCGAAACTGTGATACAGAGAATCGTGTTCTCTTTACCTGCGACCTGCTTTATCATTATTGTTACCACAGTAATGGGTCTCACCATCAGGACAACGAGCTGTAGAATGCAGCGTCCACGGTCTGCGTACACGTCCTTGATGGCATGGATGATTGGAGGCCACCACTTGGGAGACCTTAGTCCATTCGTCAAACCTGTCTGGATAAATAGCATAGGCCACATCACCCTGGCGTGTGCCCCTCCCCGAGTTGCCCCTCTCCTCGCTTTGTCTTTCCTCCATACCTTTTCCATTCTCCGCCCTCCTCTCTCTGCTGTACCCGGTTTCCTCACTAATGTCCATTCCCTTTTCCTCTCTAACTAGCCAAACTCTCAGTCTGTGTGCTCCAGCCCACGTGTGCGTATGCTCTGTCCTCTGTGGCACCAGCAGCCCTGATGTCTCCTCTCTCACACTGACAGTAGAACTGGCGGGCAGCTGTTTGAAGCGGTGACAAGGGCCCAGTTCCTGAGAGCTCAGACACGCACTCTCAAGTGTATTAGGTAGACCCTGGCAGGCTGTGGCTCCCTTGTCACCTGGGAGCTGTGAGAGATGCAGATACTCAGGCCCTTGCTGCTCTTACCAAATGAGAAGCTACATTTTAAGGCTGTCCCCAGATAATTCTTATGCACAGTGAAGCCCTGCTTGAAAGCCCTGCATCTGATTAGGGAGGCAGATGTTGTGCAAATACACAGCTTAAGTATGCTGTCGTGTCATGTGACACGATACAGGTATGGAGGACAGAGCCAGGGAGATCTTGGCAGGCAGCTGGTATTTGGGGGAGGCTTCCAGAAAGATCTTAAAGTATATTAAAACAGGATGAGGGGTCATTCTCGATAGAAGCAGCAGCTTGTGTAGTGATAGACAGTTTTACTTATTTACTTAATGTATTTGTGGTACTGGGAATTAAACCCAGGGCCTTGTGTATGCTAGGTGGCATCTATCGCTGAGCCACAGCCTCAGCCCCAAATGACAAGACTCCCAGTGGACTTATGGAATGCCCCTGGCACAAGGGACTCAGTACCTACAAGTAAGAGGACACCGGAGAGGCAATCTTCCAGGCAGAGTATGAGAGAAACTAAAGGAGATTACACACGGATCTCTGAGAACCTCATGTTAATGAACAGGCAGTGTGGTTCACAGGCAGGCTTTCTTGAAGGAAAGAAAGCAGTTGGTGTCTATATGCAGAAACTTCCAGTTGCTCTGGATTCTAATTGTTTGGAAATTAGGATAATTAAGATGAGAATTTTCCTTTCATTCATTATGAACTTGGGAAATTACAGAACACATACATGTTGTATAGGAAATTGTCAGACTAAAGGTAAAGCTTTTTTTTTTTTTAATTAAAAGAAGCATTTCATTACAACAGCATTAACCTATTCAATAACATTTTTCTGAGCTAGGGTACATCTCTTTCAAAATTGGCTGTACATTTTTAGGTTTACAGAGGAATTATTACGCTTGTACAATCTTTTACTGATTATAAACTCTACAAGACATAAAATTAAATGAGGTTTTAATGTTTAGAAAAGATCTCCACTTCGTTGTTAAAATACAGTTTCATACAGAAAAATTCATTTTAAGGCAACTGACATTGAGACGTTTTCACATGCATTTCTAATCTCTATATATATGACTATTACTGGTCACAGTCACTTACTTTCTGAGTTCCGTGGCATCTGAGTATGAATATAAACTCGTCAGATAAACAGCCTTCTTCTCCCTCTAGAGCCTCCATACTCTGTCATCCCTGCCAATGTCCACTGTGTTGTCAGGACCCCCATCTATTGCCCCCATCTGTCCTTCTGATAAATCTAGTCAGCCAGAGGTCCCTGTTCCAGGAGGATCAGCTGTTCCTCATCTACAGCAATCCATTGTCAGTATTCCTTTGGATAGAATTGGGG